TTGAATATAGTGCAGATTTATCATCAGACGTCAACAGTACAATGCCGTTGCACCATGTTGCAAATATCAGCACGGTTACATGTTCTAGAGTTGATTCTTTCAGACGCTCCGATTAATTTAGGTCTCACTAATGGTTACTAACGATCGGTAAGGGCAAAAAAGTCCACAATGAATGTCAATCTAACAGGTAGGGAAAAGCTTTTGATAGGGCACTGTACTGGGAGCATATTCTTAATGGCAGGAAGATAAGTCGACGCTACTTACGTCCGGGAGATTCTGTGAATGGTTCATTGATAGGACCCAAAGCCAGCTGACTCGGTTTGGGAGCAGACGACTGGGATCCACTCAACAAGTGCCAAATGGCGCGCACAGCCCTCGGAGGTCCGCCGAAACCGGACTCGGGGTCGCCAATATCGTCGGGCAGGAGGGGGATCTGTGAGAGGTCATCCAAATTGCCCTGCGATCCACTGACGGTGGTAGTGGTGGTTGTGGTCGAGGGAGTTGGAGATGACGCTACCGGCAATGGGAATGCCACAGCTTTGTCACCGGAAGGCCCAGATACCATAGTCAGACCCCTGTATTGCTGTTGTTTCAAGGCAGCGGGATCGGTGGTTTCTTGCCAGGCCCGGAGGACTGCCTCGTAATCCCAGTTAACTTCAATTTCTGGACGCACAACTCCTAGACAATCCATCAGTCTTCTGTGGAACAGTCGCAACAGATCCTAAAATAAAAAGTATACAGAGTATAGAGAATTAGAACGGCTTATAAGATACCTACGGTACAAAGTGCACAAGACTGCAAAGTAAACCCTATAACATTTTTCAGCGGGGGCCTACAACGCGGCTTCATTAACAAAACTCAAACCACTGGGTAATTTAATATGGGAAGAGTGGTAAAGAGGGTTTTAAGGATTGAAAAAATGTAAATAGTAGGAAAATGTACAGGTAAAGGTAAGGAAAATCGTAAATATAGAGCATGGAGTTTAAGTACGCTAATACATTTTAGGCAGCGGCACACAATTTGAACACGAAGGGCCTTCGCAGTTGTAGTGCAAACATATAGTGATTTAAATGATAGATCGCCAACAACAACAATGATAATAACGAGGCATCTCCGTGGACGAAGGTAGATAGTCATAGTACTATTGCCTTCCTCTTCTAGCTTTACGAGGAACTGGTGGTTGGTGCCTACCTTTATTTCCTCAGAACAGGGATTCTTGGGGTGCGTCTCGTCCTCATCTTCGAGGTCGGCCAACTCCCCCTCCGTGAGGTCTGGTGA